ATTTTCTGTTCGTTCCTAAGTCATTATATTTTATATATTTGAAAGGATCTCTCTTAACTATTCTTTTTTTTTAAAGAGAGAGAGAGAGAGAGAGAGAGAGAGAGAGAGAGAGAATTTTTTAATATTTATTTTTAGTTTTCTGCGGATATAACATCTTTGTTTGTTTGTGGTGCTGAGGATTGAACCCGGGCTGCACACATGCCAGGCAAGCGCGCTACCGCTTGAGCCACATCCCCAACCCTCTTAATATTCTTAAAGGCAAAATAAGTAGTTCATTATCTACCTCCTCATGAGAACTTCCATTTTTGAAGGAACTATTCTTCAAAATGAGTCCAAGTTAGTTATAGAAAAAGAAAATGATGGGAAAATTGTAATGGAGTATAATAAAGTCATGCACCGCATTTGGCTTTCTTCATCATGTCAGTTGTATTGATAAGGAAACTGAAGTCTGCTGCTAAAGTCTAAGGATATTAGATGTAAGTCTAAGGATATTAGGTGTGTGGAAAGACTTTGAGAAGATGGAAAGACAGATTGTACCTTGGAGGTGAAAACCAGAGTATAAACAAAACTGGAGGTTCGGCTTACTCTGCTTTGCAGTACAGATATCTGTCCATTGAAGGGAAGAGGGAAGTAGTAAAGAATGCTAATTATTCTATTTACTAGTATATTCTCGAAATGCTAAGAAGCTGGCATGACAGGAGCCCAAAGCACATTTTGTGCAATTGATACCAATGATAAGTGAAAACTGATTAAATATGTATAAGCTCAGTTTGTAGAAATTGTTTCAAAAGAAAATTTGATAAACACACTCATCCACACTCATTCAACTCACCTTTTCCTCATTGAGAACAAGGACCATGCACCTTTGGTTAGAAGAGTAATTATAAGTTGTTAAAAAATCAAAAGAACATTTGCTATCTGTGTTAATAATGAAAACGCTTTACTAGAATGACTCTGTTTCATTGATAGGATGACTGAGCATTTCCCTAAAGCTTGCCCTCCCTTCCACCAGCCCATCCCACTCATACCACTTATTAATTTTCCTCTCTTCAGTTGGCTTGCATTGTCACAATTTCTTCTATATCATATTTAGTAGAAATGCACGTTTTTTTTGTTCACTGTTTTCATGCAGTAGGTAGAGGATTTGTTAAATGACTCAAATTTAGGCCATGATATATTGATTTTATGCGTATGTTAGTTCTGAAGTCTTGTATTTTCTATGCAAACCAGGAATTGCTTTTAAATTGCTGATTTAGAGTGTAAAGGAGATCTAGAACCAGAGTTATTCATTTCTCACTGGTGAATAAAAAAAAACAACAACTGTGATTCATTTACCAACTCCTTGACTTTTGATTTATATCTTTTTGGAGCATATTGTAGTTCATTCAATGAGAATGAAATGTAAGACATAGCTTTTGTCTCAAAAAATTAATATTACTGTTACTGTCCGTTACGGGTTAGATATCTATGAGGTTGCCCCCAAAAGCTCATGTGTGAGACAATGTAAGAAAGTTCAGAGGTGGAATGATTGGGTTATAATAACCTTAATCTAATCAGTACATTCATCCACTTGAATGGATTAACTGTGTGGTAACTGTTAGCAGGTTGGGTGTGGCTAGAGGAGTTAGGTCACTGGAGCTGTGCCTTTGAGGTTTATATTTTGTCCCCAGTGAGTGGAGGTCTCTTGGGCTTCCTGATTGTCTTGTCCTGAGCTGCTTTCCTTCTCCACACCCTTCCACCATGATGTTCTGCTTCAGCGCAGGCCCAGAGTAACAGCTTTGGCCATTTGTGGACCTGAAACCTCTGAAACCTTGAACACCAAATAAACTTTTCCTCCTCTAACATTGTTCTTGTCAGGTCTTTTGGTTATAGTAGTGAAAAAGCTGACTAAAACACTCTTGACCTCTACAATAATCAGCAAATATTCCCCATTGTTCCAAGGATCCTAACAATATTCCGCTTGTTTCTATTCAATATAAGTCTTGCAGTTTATCATTTTATAGATATTATTACCCAAATTTAGTATGTTGTGAAGAAAAGCAATATTTTATTCTGAAATTTCTATCATAATTTAATAGAACAATTTGAGATTTTTAACTTTTTTATTTTTTATTTTTATTTCAGTTTTTTTTATTAATTAGTACATTGTAGTTATACATAATAGTCAGGTTCATTTTGACACATCCATAGTGTTTATTAAGCTTTATTAGGATATTCTTGACATAAAATTGCATATATTAAAGTATACAGTTTGATGTTTTTGATAGATATGTCCATTGTGAAATGATCGCCACAATTTCAGTAATTAATGTCTGTTATCTCTACATAGTTACTATTTGTGTGTGTTAAGAATATCTAAGATTTACCTTCTTAGTAGTATATAGTACAGTATCATTATATATTATCATCACGATGTACATTAGATCTCTGAAATTTACCCACCTTTCATATCTGAAACTTTGTACCTTTTGATATCTATCCTTCCCCTCCTCACAAACCCTGGCAACCACCATGCTATTCTCCTCTTCTATGAGATTCCATGTGTAAGAGAGATATGTGGTATTTCTGTGTCTTACTCATTTGGCTTTCCTCCACCCATTTAGCAAAAATGAGGATTTCATTCTTTTTTCTTTGACTGCATAATATAGGTTGAGCATCCCTAATCCAAAATCTGAAATGCTTCAAAATCTGAAAACTTTTGAGCACCAACATGATGCTACAAGTTAAAAATACCACACCTTTACCTTGTGTGGCAGATCATAGTCAAAACATAGAAGCACTAAAAATATCATATAAAATTATACTCTGTGTATGTATATATACATACATATAAGTACATATAAAATAAATAAATTAATTTCACGTTTAGGATTATATTCCATCCTCAAGAAATCTCATGTGTATGCAAATTATCCAAAAATATAAAAATTCTGAAATCTGAAACACTTCTGGTCCTAAGCATTTTGAATAAGGAATACTCAGCTTGTATTTGTGTGTATATATGTCTGGTCTCATATTTTCTTTATCTAATCATCTTGTGAAAGACCTTTAGATTGTTCTCCTGTCTTGGCTATTGTAAATCATGCTGTGGAGAAGTTGGAAGTAGGGATATCTCTTTGAGATTCTGTTCAATCCCTGGATAGATGATACCCAGAAGTGCAGTGCTGGATCAAGATAGGTCTATTTATAACCCATTAAGTCCCAAGTTTTCAAATCTAATATTTCAATGAAGTTGGCATAGGTGCATTAAAATATGTTGAAAATCATAATCTAGGGCTTATATATGATTATTTTAATTAAAATTATAATTATTTAATATGATTATGTTATATAATTATATGATTACATGATATATACTATATATTTAAGTTTTTATAAGTATTCCATATCTGGGATTATGGGACAAAATATGTTAATTTTTTGAGGAAGCTGTATACTGTTTTTCACAATCCTGAGGCCTTTTCTTGAAGCCCAACATGGAATTCAGCAATGACTGTTGTGGGGAGACCTGGAGCAGGTGAGTAGGAGTATGTATGTGACTGTACATGATTTATAAACATCTGAGCATGTATAATCTTAGAAGAGTACCTGAGTGACAAAGTTCAGTTTTGAAGATAAGTCTTACTATTAACTGTACAAAGTCAGAGGACAGGTGACAGGATGTCACACACCCCCCTTTAGATGCTGCACTTAATTACTTAAAAGTACTGAAGGCACAAAATTTTGAAGCTAGAGAGGAGCTAGGGATATCTATTATCTAGTCTAACTACTTCATTTTGAAGATGAGGAAACTGAAGAGCAGATGGAATAAGAAATTTTATAATTTTCTGTAGTTTTCTCAGAGGTGAATAAATTTATGTAGTTAATAATTTGAGATATCTAGAGTTGAAACCAAAGTTTCTTAACAACGAATCTACTATCCTTTCCATTATGTGTAGTCAAAGTGGATTTCTTATTCTATCAGTGCTGTCTCTTTGTTTATTCATTCATTTATTTAGAAAGACCTCCTTAGTTTCAGAGCTGGGATCAAGGTGGTTAATGGCTTGGACCTCCTCAGCACCTGAATTTGTTATGGCTGACTGTGCAGTTACTCATGCTGCTCTTTTTAAAAGTGGAATAAACACTACAGACAAAATGCCTGGGACCCTGTGAACCATGGAGGCATATGACCAACAAAATCATTCTTCTAGGTATAATAAAATGTAATGGCTCATGGAATTAAGAGTGCTGTGGTACAGAGAAGTAGTGAATCACTGGGAAAAAAGGGGAAGCTTTATTTCAAAACAAGGGTAACATCTATTTTAATCTACTTTCCAAAACCAAGAAAAAACATGAACATTTGAAAATGATTCCCAGGGTGGAAATAATTTTTTAATGATTTATTTTTTTTCAAAATGCAAGACTTGAAGTACCTGAAAATTTTTTTAAGTATAAAAGGCAGGAGATCAACTGTTAAACGTGTAAGTACTATGTTGAGCTTCCAAATGTGGATGTTGAATCTGTAGTCTTTAAAAGAATGATCTTTTAAATGACAGTAAGGTAAGATCAAATGAATGTGTTAAACTCCTAATACTTTCCATGAAATCTATGGAAAGTAAAAATATTATATATTTTCACCATTATAAAATACCAACATGAGACCTTTAGAAATTTATACTGAAATGATATCTTTTTTGTGTCTTTGAAAAATACATGTTTATAACTTTTAATTTATGTTTAGATTTATTTATTACCAAGATCATGAAGAATTTATATTGTGAGGAATCAATTCTCAAAAAATAAGAATCAAATTTTCTATCCTTATAGCAATGTTAAGTGCAAGAATAAATGAAAAAACACATTTTAAAGAACATCACAAATTTTTCACATGTATAAGATATATATGTTATAGAATGTTAGTTATGAACAGATTAATAGGAAAATTATACAGATTAAATATCTCTCAAAATGTATCTTTTTAATATTACTTGTAATAAAATACAACTGAATTACAAATACCAAATTTGTCTACTAATTCGAGTTATTAAGAATACTATATTTGCAGAATACATTCATGATAGAGACATAATTCACAGAGATAAAGTTTTTAAATAAGTAATCTGTGCATGATGACAGCAAAATTAATGAAAACATCAATTAGTTGATTACTATAGTAAAAATGTCATACTGTTAATATAATGAAGATAGGTATCCTATACCTTGTGTTACTTATAAGAGTTGTAGAGTTCATTCCTTTTGGAATCTTTCTCTTTGGAACTAGAAATAAATTTTTAGCTAGATTTTTGTTTTATTCCTTCTTTTGTTGTGATTTGTGCTTTCCTAAAGTAAAAGATCAAAGCAAGTACTTGCTATGTACAATTTTCAATTTAAACTTTTGAGTGGCAGTCAGGAATAGTTTTCAAAAGTTTCTGGTACATTTCTGACTTTAGAAACCTGGGATAGGAATCCATTGCCATATGCATATATACTATTTTCTGAGCCTCTTCAAAACATGTTTGAGTGGGTTCCTGAATGTTCCTGATGATAGTTTCTCTTGTTGAATTGTCAATGTTAATCTGAAAAGGGAAATTACATGTAGAGCGTAAGTAAGCACAATTAAACATGGACACGTTAAACGGGAAGGTTTCATTTATTCCCCCCTCCTTTTCAGTCCAGTAGGTAATTTTGCTCACAGTGTTCATAGATATCTAAAAATTATCAGAGATAATTTTTTTTTTTTGCTTTTTAAAAGTAAATATCCATCTTCACATCCCAAAGGAATAAAGAAGCCACCTGGCCTAAGACCACAGGAGTCTCAGAAACCACACTCTACTCAGGAGGATGCTGGTGGCTTTTTTAGTGGATGTCTGCAAACAAGGAAGCTTATGAAACCAAGGCCTCTTTTTAAGGAAAGGGGAAGTTGGTTCTATTTTAAAATCTATCTTCCTTATTAGTTACAAAGGTTGTTTTCACTGAATATGCCCTGAAATGGGAAGAAGGTGAGAAGAGGAGAAATGGAGGGCAGAAGTGGTTGTCTAAGTAAACCAAAAAAAAAAAAAAAAAAAAATTCCAAATAAGAATTTCAGAGAATAAGTTACCATCATCTGTTCTTTTCTCTCAACAGGAATGTTCATTTTTCATTGTCTGCTAGGAAAAGTCTCAGTGAATCTGTTTCATTCACTGTAAATGACTGGTGGTAATCACAACGTGGATGTCTGCTGGGTCTGTTGGTTTTATGCAGAGGTGAACAGTAATCTCTGGTGTGGTGGTGGATTGCCACTGGGATGTGCACATACCTATTTATGGCATTTGTAGTTTCTGTTGGCAAGGACACTTTTTTTTTTTCTTTTTAACCTTCCTGGGAATTAAGATAATCTAATGAGAAACTTTGGAGCCAGACTGCCTAAGTTTGAATACTAACATTACCACTGTAATGACACTGGACAAGTTCATTAACTTTACAAATTCTTTTTTTTTAATCTATAAAATAAGATTAGTAATATCAAATTTATAACATATTAGGAGATACTGGGATGTAAAGTTCCATCGGTTTTTACCTCTCTAGGGGACTGTGGCTGGATGTAGGTCTTATAAAGCTTCTTTGCCATAGAAACTCTGCTCCACCGTGAGGCAATTTTCTTATAGGTTTCACATGCCTTCCAGAATTTAATGTTCTCATCACTGTGCTCCATTTTTAAGTATGCTGCATAGACTACTGGACCATCTAAAAGTATTAGAGAAATCAGTTTATTTTTATAGTTAAAATTATCAGAAAGTCTGAATAATATTTAAAATGCAGCTTAAAACAAAAGTCTGAATAAAATCTCCCTAATTATTTATCAAGTGAGTGTTTCATATCCATATCTGTATCTATCACACTCTTAAATCTATACATCTGAGGCACATTCAACAATCCAGTCATTGGTGAGGTTATCTCTTCATTCTGAGTCACTCAGAGGAAATTGCTCACCACTGTGGATAGGTCTATGACACATAGGACAGGAGATGTCACAGAGACCTAGAAAAAAGGCTTAAGCTGGGCAGGTAGGAAGAGCTCTGATCATGATAAGAAAAAGCTAAGAACTCATGCCAAACTGGTGGCTAAGAGCAGAGTATAGATTCTAAAAAGAAAGGGCAGGGTTGGAAGAAAACTATTCAAGCCATGTGGAAGTGATATTCTTATCAGGTTGTACAGCCTGAAGTGTTTCTGAGTATCCAGTCAGTGCAGGAGAACAGAGACAGATGAAAATTAAGCTTTTAATTCATGGTTTATGGTTCACATAAGAAATAGGGACCAGGCAATGAATGGAATTCAGATAGGATATTGGAAACTATCTCGGAATCTAATACAGGGCAGTGATTATGTGAAGCATGACCATCAAATGACACTTGATGCCAAGATAGTTATCCTCAGGTCTGGTCTTAAACTGCCTTTCTGGAATGAGTATATAAGGAAAAAGGTTGCAGGAGCTTTTCTTGGTTGTGGCACTATTTTCTAGGAACTTCTGTTTGAAGAAGGCAGCTTTCAAATATCTAACACATGAATCAGAATTTTGGGGAAGACCAAGTACTTTCAAGGTTCACCATGAATACTTCGAGATTAATATTAAACTTCTTTTGGTGTCTATGGAGTCTCTTGACATGCCTGAGCAATCAAATTGTTAAATGACAAAACAACAAAGTAACTTTCTTTTCTTTTTCTTTTTCTTTTTTTGATATGGGGGATTGAACCCAGGGATGCTTAACCACTGAGCCACATCTCCAGCCCTTTCTGTTTAATTTTTAATTTTGAGATGGGTCTTGTTAAATTGCCTAGGGCCTGACTAAGTTGCTGAGGCTGGCTTTGAATTTGCAACCATATATACTACATAAAATATAGTTAGCATAGATGCTTGATGTGACAGCTTGCAGTATTATTCTCAGTTTTCCCTGCTCTTCCTCTAAAGGCAATCTTTTTGCAATCTTCCTGCCTCAGCCTTCAGAATTATCTCAGCCTCTGGGATTACAGGCAGATGCCGCTGCACCCAGCCAAAGTAACTTTTGATAGAAATGTGTGTATAGACACGTTGAATGCATGACCATTTAGACCCTGACTGCTATCATAGGATTCTTTTTTTTTCTTTTACAAAAATCTGTGCATAATTTAATGTGTACAACCTGATGTGTTTGAAGCTAAGTATATACCTATGAAACTGTCACCACAATCAAAGCTATAAACATATCCAGCAAGTGAAAAAGGATTTTAATTAATAAAACATTGGTCAGTAGCATTAACTATTATGAAAAGTAAGTATAATTAAATGGAATGGAAATAATGAGTAATTGTAATCATGTTTTCCTGGGTTTTCACCTAAGAGCTTAGATCAAATTTTCTAACACGGGAAAGTCAGACTTTTTGACTTCTTAGTTTCTAATTACTCTGTCAGAAACGATATAGGAATAAGGATAACAAAGTAGTTTGTTTTCAAGAAGAAAAACTCAAATAGAGGTAGATACCTTCTATGGAGGCAGTATGGTTATGGAAAGTTGGTAATCTGCAAGAAATATAACATACTAATAACACACAAACTTAGACCATGGCTTAATATTGTCATGTGAGCATATGCAGCCTTCCTGAAATTGGGCAGTATGTTGTTTGACAGGAATATTATCTCAATATGGAGGACATATGAGATGGGAGCAGAACATATATAGATATGTAACACAGGAAATGACATAGACTAGATGTTCCTACCGAAAGGGGGAATGTATTTAAACTTAGATTTCAAACAAAAAATTTATTTTCATGCTAAAGTGACTTTAAGTTGTACCTTGCCTTACCATAGGCACAGGAAATGGAGCAGAGAACACATGTAGCAACTTGCCTTCCTAATAAGGAAATAGTCAAATGGGTGGGAAAAGCAAAACAAACAAACAAACAAACAAACAAATAAAAAAAAACAACCAAAAATTTATTTCTGGTTTAGCATGTTAAGTTCAAGCTAGTGTTTTTCAGAATATATTGAAAGAAACAGCTGTAGTTAAAAATGAATAAACATATAGTTTGTAATAAGAGAAAGTTTGACTTAATAATTAGGAATAGAAAATAAGCTCCTTAAAATAAAAATTAAGAAATGAGCTAGAGAATAGGAAAATAAAGAGCATATGTGAGAGAGACAGACAGACTAACAGACACCTGGTAAAAATCCATAGATCATGGAATGAGAGTCAGCCATAGTTCCTAGAGTGATGAGTGGGTGGGGTGGAAAGATGATCTGGAAACCCCTATTAGATTCCACATTGTAATATTCAGATTTGTGCTTATGTTTTGCTTGATTTTGTATTAAAATGTTTATGGGTTGTCATTCTAGAGCCCACCTGCGTTTACACCTGCCTTCCTCGCTTCCCCCCCCCCCATGATGGAGAAGAATGAGTTTCTGCTTCTTTTGGGGTTTGCCTAATGTTTCCACAATTCTCAAGACCTTTGCTAATGAAGTAATCTATGTGTTGCTATATATAGTTTTTATGTTTTCTGAGTGATCGTTTCCATATATACTATATAAAATATAGTTAGCAAATACAGCTTGCAGTATTATTCTCAGTTTTTCCTTGCCCTTCCTCTAAAGGCATTATATTTCCCTATCCCATTTACATCTGCACTGGCCATTGAACTTGTGCTAGTCAATAAAATACATGCAAAAGTGCTGTGTGTAGTTCCAAGAAAATGGTTTAAGAACCCTCATGTGGTTGGTTCTCCCTTCCTTATGAAGAGAATGCGTCCTGGAAAAAAAGCTGCTCATTTAGCATAAAGGCTGGAATGAGGACAGAGAAAAGAGTGAGAGCTGACCTTAGTTGCTATGTATCCTGAGCAAGGAAAGGACCTTTCTTACTGTAAATCATCAGGATTTTAATGTCATTTGTTATTGTATCATAACTTAGCAGAAGCTAACATGGATGACTCGAACCCATCTGATATTTTGGATGTGATTCTGATGCGTGGAATGAGTAGACTTATGTGATTGGTATGTTTCACAGAATTCTGTATACATTAGGTTAATTTTTGTCTGAGTATGCTACACATCATCCAAACAAGCCGCTGAGAGTGTATTTATGTAAAAATGTTTCAGGAATCATAGTAAATATTAAATTCATACTTAAATTGCCAGTTTAGAATTTGGTTGATGCATGTACCACATGAATCATAATGTAAAAATGTCTTTCCCAAATCCGACAATCGAACCCAATGTGGCCCATTCTGAAGTTTTAAATTATAATCATTCCTGAGCACTATGCTCAGGAGACCATGATTCTGCTGCAGAAGAGTGATTCAAGGCTAAGCGACAGAATTGGTCACTTAAGCTGAGAGGGTGGCAGAAATAGATTTATGGCATATGTGGTGTATACCTTTTCCTTGAAGAATCAGAGTGTTGCTTTTGGAAATCTCTAACTTGCCCTTTTAAAAGTAGTCACTAAAATTAGTACTCCTATGACACACAAGATGACACATGACATCGTTTCTTGTTGCAGTAGAAAAACATGGAATTTCTTTTTTTTTAAAGTTGTTGATGAACCTTTATTTTTATTTATTTATATGTGGTGCTAAGAATTGAACCCAGTGCCTCACACTTGCTAGGCAACTGCTTTACCACTGAGCCACAACCCCAGCCCGTGGAATTTCTTTTGACTGAATCAGAATGGTGGTCTATCTTATTCCAGGATCCTGTTTTTCTGTAAGATGTCAAGTCTTGTACCATGTATTAAGTCCTGAAAGTGAGCTATGTCCATTAGAAATATGTCCAAACCAATTTTAAATTCACATTTTAATTTTAAATCTGTATCACTGGAGATATAATAAATTCCATAATTCTACCAGAATCTGTGTGAAGTTTTATAGTAAATCTTCCTGTTTTATTAAAATTTTCTGGTTTGGTTTCTAGGATATTAATTATTTCTAATCTTGCTCCTACTTTTTCTTTGCTATGTTATTATAAACGTAGTTTAAAATGCTATGTTATTAACACAGAAAATGTCTAATAAAGTAGTATCCATTGTTGACAATTTGTTGTTTACTTTTATTCTTTCAACCTATTGATCATGTAAAAACATGTATCTAGCTAGCATTCATTCATCTGCACACACAGATACAAATACAAGTTACTTATTGACATAATGTAAAGGCATTTTTTTTAAAAAAATCACTATTGGGCTGGAGATGTGGCTCAAGCGGTAGCGTGCTCGCCTGGCATGTGTGCGGCCCGGGTTCGATCCTCAGCACCACATACCAACAAAGATGTTGTGTCCGCTGAGAACTAAAAAATAAATATTAAAAAATTCTCTCTCTCTCTCTCTCTCTCTCTCTCTCTCTCACTCTCTCTTTAAAAAAAAATTAAAAAAAATCACTATTGCTCTTTCATGCTTAATATTATGCAACAAACACTTTCCTTTTTACTTTAGATGATCATGATAGTCCATTGAAGGGCTAGGTTGTAAGACAATTGTTCTTCTGTGTCCATAGGGCATTGGTTTCAGGACCCCCTGAGGAAGCCAAAATCTGAAAATGCTAAGTGTTCTACATAAAATGGGATAACATTTGTGGATAAGCTACACACATCCTTCTGTATACTTTAAGTCATCTCTAGATTACTGATAATACCTAGTATCATGTGTTATGTAAACAGTTGTTATACCATATTGTTTAGGGAAGAAAAAAATATCTCTACATGTTTAATATACATACAATTATTT